ACAGTTAAATTTAAACTTTAAGGGAAAAGAGCTGTAAGTGTTTGACTCAGTTTATAAAGGGATCAACGATGAGAAGATTCGATGTATCTAAGCTAGTTGGAGGATCTCCTCTCTTGGGTTTTTAGTCAGTAGTGTGTTCTTTACTTTCTCCTTATATGTAGTTTCCCCCTCCCTTTTTCTGTTGTAGTTTTTTGTAGTGGAAAAAAATCAATAAAAAATCCCCTCCGGGGACTTTAAAAAAAACAGAAAACACAAAGCAGTCTCAATCAGAGAAACAAAGAGTTCAAACATGTACAAGTGTTTTACTACTTTACAGTGTTGTATTTACCACATCAGAATTGAGTAAGGAACGTTGTTCAATGGAGGTAGCTCCTGAAATGTGAGCCAATGCTGCTGCAAGTGCTTCCACCGCTCCTTTTTCCTCTATCAGCCTCTCGGCAGACTGTCTGAAGTAGTCAATAGCAGAAGGAGGAACAGAATCCAAAGACCTGAACAAAGTGTTAGGACTTAGTATATACCAAACAATGGCAGGACAAATTTACATTTCATAAACATATGAAATAGTCAAGTAGAAATGTTGACATGCTTATCCTAGAATATTGCCTTAAACGTTTTCCCCATAATGAAGTAGTAACTGCTAACAGCCTTCACTCAGCAAATCAGCCATGCAAGCCTATTTCATGTCTGCACTGGGTCACTGAGAAGATTAGCTAGGGGAGGAATAATGAGCACTCAGGTGACTAATTGTCAGAGGTCAGAGAATGAATGGAAGCGATTGGGAGCAATGAGCAAACATTAAAGAGAACTGGAGTTTGGGTAGGATGCCACTCTGAGGAGTCTAAACACAAACCAACAATGAATATACCTGATTGCATCTTTACTGGAGGCTTTTATTATATCCGTTGCTGTAGGAACACCTACACGTTTAAATGTAATCCCCTGAAATTAAAGTGAGAAGGCATGTTGTTTAATACATCATTTGGCCAAACTAGCTGTGTCAACATTAACTATATAGCATACTTAATTATTTTTATGTACAATTTCCACAGTACTTTTTAATGCATTAAGTGCTTATCAAGATGTATTTCATTTCAATAAAACAAACACCTAAGATGCATGCTGCAGCTTAAGTGCTCAACACGTGAATAAGTTAAAAACCGTTAAAGACAGTTACCGCTTTCTGTTCTACTTGTCTTAGTTGATGATCTTCCTTGCGCTGATAGAAACAGATACACATCCCATTTCGTCCAGCTCTACCTGTGCGCCCAGAACGATGGATATAGGAGTCTACATCCTTCACAAATGAAAATTCAAATGAGACATTTACACTGCCTTACCAAAAAGTGACAAAGATGTCAAGCCAAAAGGCTACAATTTACCATCCTGACACATAAAAGAAGATTTTTCTTGATGCCAAGAAAAATCAAGCTCATATATTTTACTGCAAGTTGTCTGCTAAAGGAATCCTGACAGTAAGAACACAATTGTGTAAATCCACCCAAGTCAGTAAATGAATAATGTATAAAATGGCATTTAATAATATCATTATTAAGGAACCACTCACAATATACTTGGAATAAAGGTTCTGACAGAAAGCCAGGATG